GTGAGAAATGTTTCATTTCTGAAAAATCATCCCTGTTGATGACATCATCATTTTTGGTTAGTGTAAATTAGGCCAACAGGATTTTAGCTATTATGTCATTTTCATAAGGCCGAAAGTACAGGTTTTTATTTTATTAATACAATAATAAAATAATATAACGTAACAATAAAATGCGACTTTCAATTTTTGTTCATGATTTTTTTTCCAAAATTCTCCTGCATAGCTATGTAAATGGCATAACTCTGAGATACAACCTGGCTGAAGTTAAAAAAAAATCTGCAGACATTATTTGTTTTAAATGATCAACCATCCTTCGAATACTCCAGGAATTTCATCTATGTTTATGATCTTGCCTTGACAATCCAGGGGGAAACCTTTAAGTTTATCAAGCACTCTGCATTAAAAAATCTTTCCTTATATTATAAAAACAACCAGCAAAAACCAAATTCTTTAAAAACACAGTTCTGTGCCTTCCACTTAAAGAACAGAAAAGGAGAAAGGAAGCTCTGAGTTAGCTGGGAAGGCAAGATTTTGGAACATTGCCCTACCCAAAACTATTTGAGTTTCACTCTGGATTGAACTCTGACCTACTAAAAACCATTATCTAAACACCAAACACAAAGTTGCGATCAGAAATAACATACTTAGGAAACTGGATAGGTCAGACTGGGGTGCACACCCATAAGCAATAAGAACAACAGCTTTGTCCCTGTGCCTACTCCAAAGCAGAATATGTTAGCGTCACTTGGTATAAATCAACACATGCCAAACCAGTGGACGTAACTCTTAATGAATCATGCAGGATTATTACTGACTGCCTGAAACCTACCCTTATTGAAAAAGTTTATTTTTTGGCTGGCATGCCCCTCCAGAACTACATGCGCGCGAGCGCAACACACTCCTCTGTGAGCGCGACACGCCCCTCAGTGAGAGCAACACACCCCTCTGCGAGCGCACCACGCCCATCCGCAAGCATGGGGGAGCCCCTGCCCCCCCCCACACATCAACCTGTCTGCGGTCCCAAAAAGGTTGGGAACTGCTGCCCTAGATGACAACTAAAATTGAGGAAAAAGTTTCTATACACATCTCAAGTTCTAAATATTGACCCAGAAGAGGCTAGACTAAACCTAGGGAGAACAAAAACTACGTATCTTGCCAAGTGGACGAATGTCAAAGAGTCTCGAGTAAAATGGGGCTACTTGGACACAAGATAAATTTTCTGTGACTGTGAAAAAATTCAATCAATTCAATACTTATGCCCCACATGTACAAATGAAGAATGAGCGAATGCACAAGATAATTCTATTGAAGTAGCTCACATCTGATCAAAAACAGTCTAATTATCTTAGACATTTTAATTTGTTTTTAATTTTACCTATATTTTGTATACATCCATGATTTTTAATTGTGCGATGTTCTGGTATGAATAAAGAGAGCTGCATGCTGAGCTGCTCTGTAGATAATATCTACACAGGCTGCTTAACTTCAGGAAATTCATCTCCAAAAGATACACTGCTTGCTTTAAGGTGGAGTAACCTGGCATGGGGATTTTAGCCTTTTAAAAAAATAAAATATTTCAATTTATAAAAACACTTCATTTTATCCAATGTTCATCCACAAATCATGACTGAACTAATTTAAGTGTTTGTTTCAAACTTAGTAGCCTGACAGGAAATTGCTGTTTTAAACATAATCTTAGAACTGCAGAGCTAGAAGGGACCATATAAATCATCAAGGTCAGCTCCTATCAGGGAGACACAGTGAGAAATTTAACTCCCATCCTCTGGCTCCATAGCCAGATCCTTAAACCACTGTGTGTTCAGCAGTTATACAGTAAGCTTTTCTGTCAATCACTCAGTTGCACTTTTTTGGCCACCCCTTTTCATGTATAAACAATTAGATTCTTCAAGATTCAAGACACTTTTTTTAATACTACAAAGGATCAACACTACAAAAATGTTATTGCAGTAATAAGTGATATAACAGTTTAACATGCATTATAGAAAGAAAAAGTAAAATAAGTAAAGTTTGTTTTAGAATTAACATATTACATACAAATAACTACTGTATTGGAAGTCCTGGGTCTGATAAAGCACAAAAATCTGTTAGCATCTAAAAGCAAGTGACCCTGGGTTACTGAAGATCAAAAATAAGCTGAGTCAATTGGTCAGATGAGAACTCAGATCAGACTTTGTACTGCCTCATCTGATTGAACAGATCCGGCTATTTCTAACACCACCTAGATCAACATGACAAACTGACTTTGGAATGAAAATTCTGCTATTTCATATCCAACCACATGTTCATAGTAGGAAAACTACAGTTCTTCAGTGAATTCACCACAGCTACTTTCATTCTCTATTTCATTTTTGCTGAACTGATTGTTTTGGAATCTTTTTAAAAATCACAGGCAGGTAAATTCCAAGTTAGAGTATTTCACTAGTCTTCCTGTTTTAGCAGAGATTATATAATTTCACTGTTCTATGTTTAAACTACAAAAATATGAAATACCGTATTTTTCGCACCATAAGACGCACTTTTTCCCCACAAAACAGGGGGGGTGGAAAGTCTGTGCGTCTTATGGAGCGAAGAAAACAGATTATATTTTCCTGTTTTCTTCTCCTAAAAAATTGGTGCGTCTTATGGAAAGGTGCGTCTTACGGAGCAAAAAATACGGTAATACTGCTAGACGATAAGGTCATAATCTTTTCCCTTTTGTTCTGCAGCCCAAGCTCACAAATGTCAGACTAAATGATTAAAAATCCAAAACCAAATACTGCAGGTGTCAAGACATGCATACATATCTACACACGTGTGTATATAAACATGCATGTTGAATTTAGCATTAAAACTAATCACAACCAACACTGATACAAACTGACATATGTTATGCATGAGTCCTTTTAAATTAATATTTTATTTATTCCATAAGTGTGCACAGAATACATTCACTTGTAATTCTAAACACATTTATCTGAAAATTCTATATTTTTAAACGTAAGTTTTCAGTTCACCTAGTTAGTGTTCGGCTGTAGAAAATGCTTATTTTTCGCCATTCTTTCAGTATGAATTTTATAACTATTTTATGTGGCATCAGCAACTCTAATAGGGTTTTTAAGACAAGTGAAATATTTAAACTGGTTCTGCAAGTTCCACTCCCTCAGTAACTTCCAATATCAAGCTGTGATTTGATCCCAGGTCTCATGAATCCTTATCAGTCATCCTATCCACTGCACCAAACTGGGTATTTATCCATTTTGATCATTCCTAAAACATGTCTCTCAGCAAATGCAGTATACATTAGCATCCATATATTAGTGTCTTGTCAAATCATTGTGGAAGAGCCACTGACTACAGAAAATGTGCTCTAAAATAAACAACAAACTATATGCTCAAACTTCATTTGAACTGTATGATGGTGTCTAGTAATATACGTACAGTATTCAAGGACTGTTTCATTTTTAAAGCAGGACTATTGTAGTAACTTTAAAATCAGATAAAACCTTGTTCATATTACATCAGTAAGACAGATACTTCATGAAGCATACTTACAAATTGTTTATAGAATGAAGAATAAAACAACCAATCAGATTTTAGCATGTACAGTACATGCTCTGGAACATACAATGCTCAGTTTCATGGAAGTGTTTTGAAACCATTAATAAAATGACCAACAGTTAAGCTGATTGATCGCTGTATTTGTATTTCAGATATCTTGTATAAAGATACAGATTACAAATGGTCGTATCTTTCACAAGGGAAACCTGAATATGACTGTGCACACCCCGAAAATTAAGTGATGTGCAGATACTAGCATTCCCTTACACATTACCACCATGCACATTACTCCAACCACCCTCATTAAAGCTCCAAGCCATATCTAAACACCAATCCTTGCTTATCTGAAGTTTTAATTTTAAAAGTATTTAAGGTTGTCTTCTAGGTGGAGCAATGAGACATCCATACAACAAGCTGTCTTGCCAGACAATCAGTCTTCAGCTATTGAAAATCCAGATTCAAACAGTTTTTCCTTGCACGCATGTGCACACCTGTTGTAGTTTGGAAATAAAGTGCTTACTTCCTCTTCATCAAACCTCACCCAGAGCAATATGGATGAATAAGGCTATAAATGGAATCTACTTCACCCTGTATTTTATGAGCATTACCAAATTGTCCAAACTTCGAGGCAGTATATCTTTTGTTGAAAAGTCAGTATGAAAAACCCTTTCCCCCCAGAGAAATGGGTGGAGAATGCAGTTTTATTTCTTGAAGAAAAACAATACCTTGGAGCAAGGGTTAGTCTCAACCAGCATAATATGGGACACTATACTTCTTTCACTGCTGGATGACACCTGGAAGTTTTATAACCTGTTTCCACATCTTACATCAACCATACAACCATTGGGCAGTTTCAGGGAAGCCATCCTCCAATTCAGCCTTTCCACACACGCACACAATAACATCGATCTACCATGTAGTAGAGCATTTTGTCACAACTGTGAAACGTTTCGACACACTAAAAAAAAGCCTTATGTAGATACCAGAAATATTATGCCTGATTCCTAAGTAGATTTTCTAGTCAGTGGGGGAGCAACTGATGACATACCACTTGTTCAAGCAACGTTCAAACAAAACAGGCATGGATCTGGGTATCTGCAAGAGACTCGAGCTGCAGAAATAAAACAAGTGCAGGGGGAAAGCACACTTGTTGAACTGCTGTCTGCCCTGCAGGTTTTAGAAGCTGAAAAGTATCTACTGTATTGCGTAAGTTCACAAAAATGCTTGAAAATCCAAGGTCGGAGTTCCCTTCTTTCTCCCCCCTGGGCGGGGGGAGAGTATCCCCCCCTCAAGCCACAACTCCCTCCATCTTCTTCCGTCAACCCTGAGGCGGCAGCCTGAGGTTTAATGTCTCGACTACCCCACAGCCAGCCAACCCTCGTCCCCGCCCGCCTGTCCGCCCCCCTCCGCCCCCTTTACTGCCGCCGGCCTGAGGAACTAACCCGTGCAGGGCGGCCGCCTTCCGCCGTTTGCTGAGCAAGCAGAGGACGGCACAAGCAGCGGCGGTAGCGCCGGCCATGGTGGAGTAGCGCGCGGTGAGGAATTTGCTGTAGGCGGCCATGGCGGCGGCGGCAGCAACTGCAGCAGCCGAGACCACGAACGGCGCAGCCGGAGCAAAGGCAACAGCGGCCGGGCGACCGAAGAAGGGGCTCGCCGCAGCGCAAAGGATGTCGGGCCCGAAAAGGAGGTGGCCTCTTTCACCGGCGAAGGGGAAGGATGATGACGACGAGAGTGTCGGCGACTCCTCCTCTTCTTCGCCTCGCCTCCTCCCGGGTGGCCTCCTCGCAGGGAAAGAAGGGTTTGGCCTTTCCCCCCGAACTAGGTGCCGCCTTAAGCGGAAAGTCAATGAAGGCGCCTCTTGAGGGAATAAAACTGGTTGTCAAGGTGTCTGCCGAGTGAAGTCACTTCTTAAAACCCGTTATAAACGTCAAACGTGCGAAGATGGTTCTTTAGAAAACCAACGAAGCTGCGTAGCCCTTACACAAGACGAACCCATGGGCAGACGATACCTTTATTTGACTGCTAATAGTCTCCCAGCTGGCTGGATGGCTCAGTGGTTTAGGTACCTGGCTGCGGAGTCGAAGTTGGGGGTTTGATTTCCGGCGGTGCACCCTAGGAAAAGAGGCAGGCTGTGCGGCCTTTGGCAAGCTGTACAATCCCAGGGTGACCCCAGAAGAAGGGAAGGGCACACCACTTCTGAGTATATATGTACTCCATGGAAAATCCTGCAAAGGGCCGCCATACCCATCCTTTCGATTATGTATCCTGCTGTTTGGACTTCAGCAGAAAAATCCAGAATCCATACTGATGCGGTACCTTTGCTAAGCCAGCTCAAAGTACACGGAAACACATAGTTGTTCGTGATGTCTTGTTTTATGTATCAACAGGGAGGGAGAAGAAGTTGAAAATGTGTTTTTGTACTTTGTCTAAATATGACATGGAGAAAGGGCAATGCAGGCATTCAAAACCTGTGGTCGTTCCAGATGGCACCTGGATCCATTCCTTGGTCTGCTGGAAACAAGAACAGTATGACACATACCCCCATTTTTGTAATATGAACATCTAGCTATTACTCAGAAATGTTTCCATCCTTGAGAAGCACTGGAAGTTTCCTTGAGTGGTTGGATATACAAGTGAACAGAATCTAGGCAGTCTTTTTATTACATCTAAAGCTAGATGTAATTTTAGATTCGGTATTCAAGTCGGTAGAAAGCTGTTCTGAATTATTGTGTGATACCTATATGCGGTGATGGTGTGTAAACTACAGTACACTTTGTGTTGTGGAGGTAAATTACATCCTTCTACCGAGTCCCTCAAACTGAGCCATGAATGACCAGGCTGAAATCAATTCTGAATCACAGATAAATTGAGACTTGGGATTTATATTCAGCTGTCAAGAGCAACGCATGCGGGGCCAGTTCTCCTCGACACATCTGTCTCCATGAACAGTGTTGTACTTTCTCCACTGCTCTTTTTGAATAGAAACCTGATCTATTGTCCAGGATCAGCAAGGGCCTGAATGTGAATCAGCAAACAAAAACCTTTCCTGGAGGTTAGGGCAGAATCTAGCACAAAAATAATTTTTTCCACCATTGAAGAAGGACTACACTGCATGGATGATTCCATCCCCCTATGATATGTAAAACTCACAATTTGATTCCAACATATTGATTATTCTAACCTGGCGTATCACCTAAATTTAATCTTTGTATTTGCTCACATAAAGATTGCATTGTTACTGTGCATTGATGTGGGAACATGTATATTTCATCTAAGGCAGTGGACAAACCCTCTATTTCTAACTGTCCCTTTTTCATCAGAAATTGAGAATAACCAGAGTTTTTTTTTTAAAATCATCAATATATATAAGGGTAGATGTAATCAAAAACGTCCACAACTATCTGTGATTCAGCCTGCCGTCTTCACGCTGAGAGTAAGTGTAGCTGCCAACCTCATAGTCACAAGACACCTACTGTATGTTAGTCATTTTACCTTTCAACCACCTGGCAATTAGCAAGAGCATTTCCAACCCAGGAGGCCTATTTCCAAATCTTTCTGGGCTGTTTAAATTGAGATATGTTTTAGGGGTAACCAACACCCTTATCTAGTTCTATCCATGCCTTCATCGTATGATGGTATTGCTTTTCCCGAATTCCATATCTCCCACTCCCTTCCACAGGTTAAATGGCTGCTTCCTACCATGATGCAGCACCCTCTCTGATTTGGAAACATGCCCATTCCCTGACGCCTGACCATAGCAAATACGTCAGGCAGGGCAGATGCCCCATTTTTACTTATTTATTTAAAATATTTTTACCCTGCCTTTCTCCTTAAAAGGGCCCAAGGCAGCTTACAACAATTAAGAGAGAATATATAAAAGCTAAAAACAGTATACAGTATATATAAATATTTTAAAAGAATTAAACAAGTATTAAAAATGGTTGATAAAATAGTACCAAAAACACACTGGAAAAACAACAGAGCACAACAATCCAATTTAAAAACCCCTCTCAGTCTGCCAGTCATTAAGGAAAAGTCCAACTGAAGAGAAAGGTCTTGGTCTGCTTGCAGAAAGACAGCAAAGATGGGTCCAGCCTAGCTTTCTGTGGGAGGGAGTTCCAGAGTTGGAGCAGTGATAGAGAAGGTGGTGGGCAAGGTTGCCCAAGTCTGCTCTAAGGTGTGCGCCTGGGCGACTGCCTCCCTCCACGCAGCTTTCCTCCTCCTCTGCACAGTGACTGTTTTCAGCCATGTTGGTTCAAGTCGTGATGGAACTCAACATGCAGCCGGGGGGGGTGGAGTTGTCCGCACAGGGACGAAGTCATGAGAGAGGGGGCAGATTCCCACCCAGTGGGACTGAAAATCAGAGGGTATATTGGTGGTGGGACTAAGAGAAAGGCCTCTTGATCTTAATTCCTGGGCAAGCTCATAGAGGGAGATGCAGTTTTTTAGATAGCTTGGACTCAAGCAGTTTAGGGATTTATAGGTTAAAACCAGCACTTTGAATTGTGCCCAGAAATGGATCATGAGCCAGTGGAGCTGCTGTAACAGGGAAGCTGTATGTTCCCTGTCCTGTTTTCATGCAACAGGTGCCTGTGAGGCAGTAGTTCGCCTCTGTACAGAGGCAGAACTTGGTCAAGGTGCAAACAAGAATGCCCAAAGCAGAGCTGAGTTGGGATTCTTTCTAATCAGTAACCAAAGTCCAAGGAGCAAGAAGAAGAATAGCTCAAATATCAGTCAGGGTCTGTCCATAAACCAAGGTTATACTTTGTCAATGGTACAGTAAAAAAAAAAAAGAAGAATAGTCACAAAGCACTCTGGGTCAGGTGTTCTGGAGGTTTGTCAGTCAGGGAATAAGGAGTGCTAAGAGCAAAGGAGCAAGGCCAGCCAAAAACAGACGTTGGTTCTTAGCACTGCATGAGTGTATGGATTCTGCTCTTCTCAGTGTGCAGCATGGATACCTCTCTTACATGAGCTACTCACCACAGCTGGAATATTTTTGTTGCAGATACTGACTTAGCCTCAAATGGGCCTTGATCCTTGTACGCTACTGAGGACAGTGGGGAGATGGAATCTTCTTCTGAGGTTTCATCGCTCTCTGGACTAACTGAGTCTTCTCTGGGCAGTCCAGATTCTGTGTCTACTGTCCTTGGGTTGGGATTGCTAGCTGGAGCCTCCTCATCCCCAAAACTCTCCAGCTAAAGCTTGCCCTCCTCTCAGGAGGAGTTTGTGAAGTAAGTCATGACAACAGGACAAGTTAACTTAGTCCCTTCTTCCTCCCTTCTCTTAAGCAGGGTGTCTGCTCTCACTCTCATTGCCCTACAAAAGAGCAACCCGCTTTGGTGGCAACTCTGGTGGCCCACCCCCACATGACCCTTAGATTTATGTACTTTCCTAAATAAGTAGCACAAGTCAATGGGAGGGAAGAAGGATGCCTTACAATCCAGCAAAGTAAAGGGCTGGTCTTGCAGAGAGGTGTATATAGCACCAACAAGATACTGTAGTAACTGGTATTCTAATACAAACTTTATAAATATCTTTGCTAACCCATTCAGAATACCCAAAAGTAGGGCAAACGTGAATATCACAGAGTGTCTTCAGGATAAATGGAAGCTAAAATAGGGTATAAGGAGTGACAGGGGGATATGCTGCTAAAAGTCCAAAATCTGTAATCTGTAATAGTCTTAATATGGAGTTCAAGAGAAAGATTTTCAAATTTGATTACATTCATCTTTCTAAAATTCCTAAAGACTTCAGGTTTTGTGAAGGACTCATGAGGGGTGGCAGAGGGGAAAAATTGCACACAGCTCTGTCAAAGCCTCAGTTGTGGTTTCTCCAATGCCAACCGTACTTTCAGCTCTAATCATGCACTATATGTAACATTTGTCTCAGCTCTGAGACAAATAATGTCTTTCTCCCCATCATAGGAAAAGACACTTTACTTACACCAAGTACTGTGTAAGCCGAGCTTTAAAATAGTACAACATGAGATGTTCAGTGTTTAGATAAGAAATATAACTTGCCATACAGGTTTTTCTCACATATCTAGGTTTGCAAACAAACTTGGCATAATCCAACTAGGCAGTTTTTCCTGCTGAACAGGACATTTGTAGCTAGATTTCTAAGGCTCCAAGACTTCTTTAGGGTTAGTTGTTGCTAAAGCCCCAGTTCAGGCTTGCTTTGTTGATCTGGCCTTTATCTTGGAATCTACATATGCTTCTCATCGTGTGAACCTCATGAAATCATTTTTATAATCTCAAGTTAATTGTCGTTTATTTTTTTAGAAGTCCAGTACCACTACAGAGGTAAAATGCAATCTCACTGGGAGATATGACAAGAAATGTTTATAGTGTTTTAATATACTCATGAAAGCTGGAAAATGAACAATGGTGGTGGTAAGGCGGGGGAATGACTTAATCCAAATGAGGTGTTGATAAAGAACTTTACAAATACCATGGATTGCCAGAAAGTAAGAGAGAGAGTTTTACAGGAAAAATTAGCACGTTTTACAATACTATACTGTACTATTTATATATTGCAAAACATGCTAATTTTTCCTGTAAGAGTGAGCCGTATTGGTTCATTTGTTCACATGTGCAATTTTCAGTACCTTTGATAGCCATGTTCTAGAGCAGAAATGGGAAACATGATTATTCAGAGACTGAAGGACTTGCACCACCCCTCTTCCGTTATCAGTTGTTCTGGCAAGGCCTGATGGAAGTAGTACATCAGCAAATGCTGTCCTCCCCTCCCCAGCTTTGTTTTAGTAGGAGGAAAGGAACTGAAGTGTTTTTTTTAATGAAAAATGTAAACAATCTTTTCTGCTGTGAAAAGGTTAATTATGAAGTTTTCATATTCTTTGTTAACCACATTTAAGACTAAAGCTAACAGGTTTAATTTGCGTGTTGATCTATAATTGATCCCTATTATTTGAGTAATTACTTTCTGATTACTTAATCTAGATTGTTTGAAGTTTCAGACAAATTTGTGACAGATGACAAATCTACAAGGTTCAAACCACATTTTCAAAATTAAAACATAACAGTATGACATACCCTGTTATTGTTTTTTTGAAGTGTAATGTTCCCAGACTGATAGAGTT